GGAGGCAGCTGCAGGGCCTGGGCACTGTCGGGAGAGGAGGACATGAGAGGTCAGTGCCTCCTCCACGATGGCCCCCCACCCGCCGTGGCCACCCCATGCTCACCTCTGGTTCTGCGGGAGCCCCGTGGGCTCTGGGCTCTTCTCCCTCTCCATGGCCTGGGGCGGCTGGGGGGCCCCAAGGGCTGGGACAGAGGTAGCAGGGTCTCTGGTTGCACTGTGGAGAGTGGGGGTCAGGCGCTCACGCCCGGTGTAGGCCCTCGCCCGCAGCCCGGGGTGAGCGGGGAAGCAGCGCACAGCCCTGACCCACACGCAGACCCCGGGGCCGCTGGGCAGGAGCTGTCATCGGGGACACGGGGTCTGCACGCTCTTTCCCCTCCTGGCCCTTCGTGAGGCCCCCTCCCGCCCATGGGCTCCCGCAGAGCCAGAGGTGAGCGTGGGCTGGAGGCCCTGGGCAGCAGGGTCCTATGTGACTCCTGTGGGCACAGGCACAGCCCTACAGCCCTGGCTGGTCTTGCCAGGGCCCCTTGGAGTAGCTCGAGGGCGACAACCCCAAAGGCCAGGCTTTATTCACCTCCCCACGCGGCCCCCCAGAAGCTGTTCCCAGCAGGTCACCTGTCCAAGGGGCTGGGGGTGGAGCTTGTCCTTCGGAGGGTGGCCTGGAGGTCCCGGACGCTGACCAAGGCCTGGCAGGGGGCTGGGGAAGACAGAGGCGCAGCCTGAGCAGTGGTGCCAGGCCGGGGGACGGCATGGGAGGGGGGGAGAGGGGGGCGTGCTGACCTGAGGGCTCCGCTACTTTGCGGCCACCTGAGGCTTCCTGAGGTGCTGAGGAGGGTGCGGGATCTTGGGACCTGGAAGGGGAGAAGCAGCCAAGGAGTCAAGGCGGTTGGGCTGGAGCCTCGGAACCAGGACCGGGCCGCTCCCAGCCTGCCCTGCGGCCTCACCTGAGCTGCAGAGTGCTGGGGGCCACGGGGCCGGCCGGGCTCGGGCTGGGGAGGTCCTGGGGCACACCGACGGGCCCCTGAGGGGCAGGGGGCCCAGAGTGCCGCTCCTCCTCCCCAGAGTCTTGGGGGCCGGTCAGGGTGTCTGTAGGCACTGGGTCAAAGGCGGCTGCCCAACTGGGGCCTGGGGTGAGAGCAGGGCAGCAGTGAGCAGGGCAGGCAGACCCTGTGTCCACCGGACCCCCCAGCCGGCGTGGTCACTCACTGGGAGGCTGGGGGCCAGGGCTGGGGTAAGAGGGGGGCCCGGTCCCATCTTGGGCCCCCTGGCCGTCCTCCTCGCCGTCCTCCTCGTCCTCCTCCTCCTCGTCCTCGCTATCTGTGCTGCCTCCACTCCTGCCCCAGAAACTAGCATGAGCGCTGTTGGCGGCAGGGAGAACGGGAAGCGCCCGTCCCCACCTCCCAATGTCCCAGGGCTGCCCCCCGCCCCCAGCACTGTGAAGGAACAACAGATAATAAAAGGGGTGGAGGCCGCCACCACCACCACCGCACAAGGGCAGGCAGGCCCCACCCGCCTCCCTCACGTCCCTCCCCAGCACACCGCCCTTAGGAATGGCTTCCCCCAGCAACAAACTCGGGGGACTCTGTGTTGTTGTTGATCCTGACCCAAGGATGTTTGTCCACTGACATTTAGAGAACGGAAGGCGGGGGGAGAAACATCAAAGCGAGAGAGACACCCCAACTGGCTGCCTCCTGCACACGCCCCAACCAGGGCCAGGGCCAGGGCCAGGGCTTGAGCCTGTGACGAGGTATGAGCCCTTGACTGGAGTCTAACCCAGGACCCTTCAGCCCATGGGCCAAACTGGCTGGGGACTGGGAGGGACTCTTGTCACCACTGTGTCCCTGGCTGAGAGCAACGTTAGCACGTGCAGCTGCTCCAAAAACACTGACGTGACTGAGATACGGCCAAGTCACCCGGCCACCCTGTCCACCGACGGGGCGGCTGAGCGAATGCTGGGCGTGTGGCCCGTCTCCGAGGCTGGAAGGAGCGCGTGGCTATCACTGAGACAGACTAGACACTCGGCAAACGGGGACAGAGGAGAGCTTCTGCAACCTGAAAGGGCCGCTCCTAACCCACCACGTGCACCACACCCAGTCCCCCCACATCAGGAACACGACGCCCCCACTTCTGCTTCACGCCGTCCAGGCCGGAGGAAGGAGGAACCCGACCCCAGAGGCGCCTTAACTCTAGCAGGAAATGCTGAGGGATCGAGGAGTTCCTGGAGGGCACGGGACGCGGGTCGATGCCCAAAGCTACTGCTTTCTGTCCACTTGTTGCCTCCTCAGTGACTGAGACAATTCCATCCACCGCTGCACTGAAGAGAACCTGACACTTAGGAACAAATTCAACAAAAGAAACAAAACATACGCTCTGAAAACTTCAAAACGCTACCGGAAGCTAAAAATACCTAAATTCACGGAGACACACCCCAGCTCAGGGGCCAAGGCCACTCTCACTGAAACTGACACACAGATCCCAAATTCATAGGAAATCCCAAGGCTCAAACCATCACCCTGAACCAGTGGCAGGACCACACCTCACCTCCCAGGCTCACCACCTGCTGCAACACAGCAGGATCCAGGCCGGGCAGTGAGCGCACGAACACGGCCATCGGCCGCCGGGCCAGGACAGAGGGCAGACAGGCCCTCACGCAGTCCAACACCCAGTCGTGGGGAAAGGACAGGCCCCTCAGCAAGGGCTGCTGGGACGGGCTGCCCTCGCACAAGGAATGAAGGCGGACCTGCCCGCCGCTCTGAGGAGACCAAACCCGGACGTGAGAGCCAACGCTGTAAACTCTGAGGAAAACATGGGGAGCACGACCTGGGCCTTGGCTGCTCACACAGCGGCACCCCTGGGAGGGCCAGGGAGCACCCCACAGCGATGGCCCTCAGGTGCAGAGCCACACCCACCTACCCAGCAGGGGTCCGGGCAGCAGCACCCCTGGGAGGGCAGGCAGCAGTCCGCAGGGGGACAGGGACTGGCCAAACCTCAGGATTCACACCCGCGCCTGCATGCTCGGTCCACGTCATTAAAAAGGTAAAACCCTCTAGTGCTCCCACCAGCAGCCCAGGGCAGAGCTGTTCCCACCAGGAACCTCCAGGGCAGGCGCCCGGGGCAGGGACGCTGGGCCAGCCAGTATGGACGGAAACGGCGCAACGTCACTCAAGGAGCTGGTCACAGCTTCCTGACGCTCGGCCTGTGAGGAAGGGACCATCACCACCTGTCATGTTACTGAAATGGGGGGAGGGGACACTGGTGGGACCATGTGCCGCCGTTCTGGGAACACCTGCATGCGCTCCGCCCTGAGAGCGGAGTCCAGGGACGGAGGGTGGGTGCTGGTTGCAGATGCACCTGGATCAGGCAAGACTTGAGGGAGCTGCAGCCACAAGCTGTGACCCGACTCCTGTTCCTCAGCACCGAGAGGCCCCAACTGGCAGACACGCTCCATCCCACGGGTGGCTCGTGCCCTCGAGCCCATGAGAACTGCTCCACGTGGGCCCCGCAGTCCCCCCGATGCCACAAGGC